GAGCTTTTGACGTAGCCACAGTGTCAGGCCACGTCTCTGCTGCGTAGCAAAGCGCAGGGAGAACAGTTGATTCGAATTGGGGGGCTCGGAGCTCTGCGTCCATTAGCTGGTCTGTGGCTTCCTTTAGGGGCTCGAAGGCGGCTCAAGCTGCTTTTCGCTTCCTATTTAGTTCTTCTTCAGATCGTTTTCCATGTTCATCAAACGTCCGACATATACGTGAGAAGACGTCTTCGCGATTGGAGGGCCTTCCACTTCCATTTACTCCTCGCAAAAAGCGTTCTTAGTGAACTGAGCTTTCTTCCGGTTAATTCGCAGTCTATCCGCTTCCCTACATCGTTTAGTTCTTTCAACATAGTTTCCGCTTCAGTGATACTTGAGGGGAGAACAATGTTGTCCACAAAAGGAAGGTTTGAGAGGAATCTTTCTTCAATTCCTAGACCCCTCTCCTACCAATCCAGTAGCATTACCCACTGCAAGGCGGCGGTAAACAGCTTTGGCGACACGGTGTTGCCTTGTCGAACCCCCTCTGGAGGGGTATTTTAAGAGGGCGATGGAAAAGCTGTACCGTAGAAGGCGGTATTCTCGGCAAACCTCGATGATCCTCGAAACATCCGGATGTGATTCACGCAATTAAATCCCTGAAATCCAGGCCTTTCTACAGGTTGGGCTCCATCCAGTGTCCTTGATATGCGAGGGAATAATCTTCGTGAAAAAATTGCAAAGCACGCTCAACTTTACGAATATCCTCTCTATCGCCTTTCTTATGAAGCAGGTTTGGGAGGTTTTCCACTAATCAAGGATCCTTTCCTTTTGAAGGTAAGACTTTAGTTGTGCCGCAAGTATCTCGTGTAGGCGATAACAGCTCGTAAGAGGTCGAAACATGGTCCGGTCCTGGAGCCGTGGCTTGGGGCGCGTACTTCAGCAGTTTTCGTGGTGGTATTCTCCAGTGGGAATAACGGGGCTTGACACGGGTGTTGACGAGCGAAAGAGATTGGTGAAGAATCTCTTCGTGATCGATTCTATCTTTTGTCGGAAAGATGTGCGAATCCCGTTTTCGTTAAGTAATGTTGTCAGCGGACACGATAGTCGAGAAGGTCCCTACGGTACTTCTTTAGACTTCTTCTTCCTTGCGCTGCTTCTAAGAGTTTCAAGTGCCTGCACTTTCGCAGATCTTCTTGCAAAGCTGTTCTGCAACTGGTGTTGGCTACCAGTTGCGAGATGTGACGCAGCCGGATCCAGCCTCGGTGCTCTCCTCCTCTCTAGCAGATCTTTGGTGGCTCTTGATATCAGCTCCAAGTTCCTTGTTCGAGGCATTGAGGCACTT